ATTGATCTTCATGTAAACAAAGCCACCCGAATTGTGCTAAATTTGTATTTACCATTCATTACCCAATAGCTTGCATGGAAACTCTGCTCACTTGTCTAATTTGATAAACAAATCCTTTTGAGTGTATTTGAGTATAATAATATAATAATAATGCTTGCATTTGATATAGCACTTTTCACACCTTCTAGATGTCACAGACTATACTATAAAGTGAATTGATGGTGCATATGATGGAACAGGATTAAATATTTGTAAATAAGCAAAAAGAGCTTGTGACGGTGCCTGTAAGAAACAATGTTAGCTTCAACAATTATTAGATTTCTTAATTTTTGCTGCTTACAGCTTATTTAAGAAGGAACAAGTAAGAAAATTATATAATTGTTTAATCTATGTTACTTTAGAGTCTTCAAGAATATACAAATCTAAATTGGGTCTTCACTTCATTTAGCACATTCATTTGTAAAGATATAAATACTTTTCAATAACTTTCTCAAAAACACATTTCTATGCCACATATAGTGAGACTATATTGTTTAGTTGTACAGAAATCCACTCACGTAACATTTCATCTTCTTCCAGTTGCGTCAAACTCTGCCACTGTTAAGTACTCTGAGGCGCTATTCTGCATGAAAATATAAATGCGAGTTGTTGTTGCTTTCTGCACAGGTGACATTGTAGTAAACCATCTCTCTTGTGCATCTGTAAAGTTTGCAACAGGAAATCTCCTGAGGGAAACATGTTTACATAAATGAATAACAATTTTTAACACAGGCATTTTGAAATTGATGAATTTTACAGCAATTTCAGGTGAAAAGGTGAATATGTTTTTCATAATTTCTTTCCTTCAAAGAACATCACTGTTGGGAACCGTTTTGAAAGAAAATATTTCTGTTTTATACTCCCAAGGATGGGTGAGGTACACATTATTTGCATCGTGAAAGCTTAGTTGAGTTCAGTGCGCTCCCAGAGGTTGAACACTTAGCATTGAGTTGAAGATTTTGTTTCTTTGTGGTTGACATTGGCGGCAAGTGATTGATCTAAAGTATGGAAATTACAATCAATTTCTTCTTGGAAGCCAATCCAGAATAGATCTATAAATATTATGGCTCAAACTATTATCCCTAATTGTAAAAAGTATATACATGGAACTCCACTATCCTGTGAGAAAGGTGCCATATAAATGCAAGTTGTTGTATATACGGTAATATAAAACTAGTTCATATACAACAGCAACAAACAATAGAGTACATACAAAATTTGGTGACCCAATCCAGCACTGTTTATGGGACGCTGCTGTGCGCAATTCACTGCCATGTTTTGCCCACAAAATATACAGGCAATTCACTTTACAGTATGTTCTGTGAAGGACTTTGAGATGTCTCGAAGACATGATAAGGCATTCTATCAAATGCAAGGATTATTATTATTGTTATACAGAGGAAGAAAACGGTTATGTTCTTTCTGTTCCATAACAACATAAAGTGTGATATATTGTGGTCGTACCCATTACAGGCAAACAAGAGTAACAACTATGTTTGCTGATATATGTGATTTTTTAATGAGTCTATTTCAGTCTGCATTGGGATAGTTGGATTATTGTGTATAAACTTCATGTTTTCACATGGAATAGTGTATCCTATTCAGTGCCTATTCCAAATTGCAAATATTGAAACATTACATTCAGTTGCAAAACACTTGTCACCCTCATAAAAATGCTGCATACAATATTTAAAAAAACAGTGTTTTAGCTCATTGCCAGAAGAAAGTTTAAACACCAAGTTAGATACTGAAATCATGCAAATATATTGCCTCAGCAAGGCACTATGTTAATGACTGATAGTACATTTCATATGCTGCTGATGGAAAAGGAGGAAAAGGTACACAATAAACAGAGGCAAGGATGTTTTATTATATATTAATTACGTATTCTCATCAAGCAGTTTATGCAATGCAATATAAACACCAAGATAAGGCCTCAGGGGTACAAAATTCTGCATTGTGATGTATCATGAGGATCAAGTTTGTTACCTCTTCATAAGCTTTTACAATAATTACTTACAGCACTATATTTTAGTGCTTGTTGCAATATACACCATTTTGTTTCTCTGATACATCTGCGCACTTACAAAAGGGTATCCGAAAGGCGTTTTTTTTAACTGAAACGTATTTTGAAATAGCTTTTATCATTTCATTTTTGAGGGACGCTGCTGTGCGCAATTGGCTGCCCCATTTCGCCCACAAAACACACAAACAATCCACTTTTCAATATATTCTGTGAAGCGCTTTGAGACGTCTGAACGACTTGTTGTGGCGCTATATCAAATGCAAAGATTATTATTAGTGGTGGTAGTAACATTATTAACTGCTCCGTGTGGTGTGATTTTGAGTTGCTCATTTTTTTTTGTACTCTCTGGATTGTGGGTGATTGTTGTTAGCGCCAAGATTTATTGCTTATCCCATGTTGCCCTAAGAAAGTCTCAAGTTCAGTCCCTGGTTTGTGTTGAGTCAACTGATCTCAACAATTACTCTAGTTAACCTTAACATGCAAGGTAAGGTAAAACGTAAAATCATCCAAGTGTCCTGTTCACTTCGGGGGAATATCCCAAGCTTCTGGTTCTGGTCAGTTAAAAATTTTCACCTGAGCTGGGGGTTGTGAACAAGAGGGGTGGAGGGCAGGGAGCGTGGAGGTGCCCGAAAGCCCGGTCAAAAAGAAGAGGGTCTTGAGATAAGCTTGGAGGCAAGGGAGGGAGCAAGGCAGAGGGACTGTGGAATGGAGTTCCAGAGGGTCCGGGCAGAAAGGGTGAAAGCCCCACCACTGATCCTGGTGGGGGATATGGAGCAGACCGGAGTGCGCTGAGTGGAGGGAGCGAACAGGTCTATATAGAGTTAGCAGAGGTAGGGAGGAGCTTTGAAAGCGAGGATGAGGATTTTGAACTGTATCCTCTGGGGGAAGGGGAGCCAGTGGAGCCAGACTTCCACTTCAATCTAGTGAAAATACTTCAATTGAGTTTGACTTCAATCTACTGAATTCACCTCACCTCCAGATCATATGTTTTCTGAGATAAACTGAGAAATAACGCAGTGAAAGAAGTGAAATGACAACATGGAAACACTGGGAATGGAAACCAGACTAATGGGTGTTCTCTTAAAACTTTTACTTTACTTGAAAAAAACGAGAGTGTGACTCATTTACGAAATTATTTTCCATTCAATGTTTGGTGAAACGAGGATAAAAACGGTGCTGTCTAATGTTTCTGAACCCGTCACTGATGGCTGTGAAATGCCACTCAGTTAGACAGCGATTACAACCGATCCAATGCTGTAATGATACTTATCTATGAGCTCATCATTGCTCTGATGAGTTAGCAGGGTCTGTCTGTGAGCTCATCGCATTGGGTATGAACTCAGGTCTCTCCTCACTTGTGAGTGCCTTAATCGTGAACTGTTGTTGATTGGAATGACTTGTTGATTGGAGCAAGCTCTCGGGAATGACAGATCTATGCTTAATATTCACACACGACTCAACTGAACCGCGAATTAGTAAGGTGCTGCTGACCTGAAAGATGGACAACGTTCACAGTTTTGTGAAGCAAAGTGTAAATGAAAAGGAAAAATAATATCCTTTGTTGGTTTTATGCACAGTATTGAAATATCTTTGGCGTCTGCTGTGAGGCGGAAGGCAGGTTTAAAAGGTGTTTTACATATACCCCATGTTAAGTATTTTGAGAATTTCACGTAAAAGTAGTCTTGAATAATAATAATTGCTTTGTCAATTGGCATTTCATGTTGTTTCTGGGCACCAATAGTGATAATTATAATCCTTGCTTTTGATATATTGCCTTATCACGTCTTTGAGACGTCTCAAAGGCGCTTCACAAAATATACTGTTAAGTGAATTGACAGTTTTGTGGGCAAAATGCGGCAGTGTCCGAAAGTTTGAGTGATCAAATTATTATTAATTTATTTATTTTCGAAGGGATTATTACTCCTGGAAAAGCGATCCGCTAATTGACTAACAACCAGGTTCCCACTTACTGCTAAACAGACAGCGGAGTAAGGAAACTTGCCCAATGTAAACTGCCCGGGAATTGAACCCAGGTCCTCTCGTTTGTGAGCCAAGCGCTCTAGTCTATACGCTACAGGACTCCACATGTTGTTTCATAATAAGTAATCACATTGTAGAGCATAGGTTGAGGAGAGAGTACCTAACTGTGTAAACTTAGGAACTAGCCGAATCAAGGTGATGAAGAACAGACAGTGGCACATTTCATCACCCCATCCAGCCCCAGAGAGTTCAAACAGTCATTCTTTATGAAAGGGTGACATTGTATTGACAGAACATAAGTCAGAAAAGCAACTTGTCTTCAGAATGATGACAGACATGAATTATATGGATTTAAGTGAGCTGTTTGACTAAAACTGCGAGACTAGATCTGGAGGACACAAGTTTAAAATGAGCAAACCTCAAATCTGATTTATAAGTTAGAATGTGTTCCCTCCTTGCCCACCCATAGGGAACTGGAACAGAATCCTGGCAAAGGCAGTTGATACTCTTGATTAAATCACTGGAAAGGGTTTGTATAAGATTGTGCTTGAGACCAGTATTGTTGGCTATGGGAATGATACAGAGTGAGATAAACAAATACATGCGACAAAAACAACAACAAATTATATTTTGTATAGCGCCTTTCACATCAGGAAGGCATCCCAAGGCGATGGACAGTTAGGGATTTGGACCCAAATTATGCAGAGAGTAATCAATGACTGGAACAGGTTGCCAGACAAGGTGATAGAGGCCAGAACACTGGACTCATTTAAAATGCACCCTGATGACAAGACCAATCTTGTCATCTTATGTGTGGGTTAATGTTTTGTTGTGAATAATAAGTAATAAACACAAAGTTGGAACAGCGAAACAAACAAAAAAATTCTTAACTGATCTCCATACTTGGCTCGTGAAAGCTTTTGAAGACAAGATAAACAACACTGATCTTACAAAAATGATGGCCATATCAGACTCATTAAACATTTCTACTCCTAACATCTCTGAAGAGACACATTTTCAGGTAACCAGTTGAAAATAAAACTCAATAACTGTTCTTTATTATTAGCGCACAATAATTACTGTATGCCATTCATTAATGGCAATATTTGCTATTTATAAATGATACTCTTAACAAGCAGAATTTTTTTCAAATTGCTTGATTTTGTTTATACATTGTGTGGCGTTTTAGGCTTATTTTGTTGTTGTCGTTAGACTTACTTTGCTCTGATTTTCCCTTTAAACAGGCAATTAATAAATTAAAACTTGGGAAGCTGAAAAAAGAGGAATTCGCTTTTATACGTAAGGTCTTTTCCAGACCAGGTGAACTCCACGATCTGTTCAAGGAATACTCTTGTGATGGTATTAATATAGCAAGCCTAGACCTACTAGATTTTATCATAGTTGAACAGTTTGAGACTAATGTAGACAGATCTACTGCCTTAAGGATAATCAACTACTGTGAACCCATAACAGAGGGTAAGTACAGAAGAATCCTGTTATAACACGGTTCATTGTAACGTGCATTTGTTTAATAAATGTGGATGCTAAGAATTACCTATTCAAAAAATCTTAAATACCCTCACTGGCAAAATGCCAGTCAGTACATGGGAAAGCAAAATGGCTGGTCATCAGTTCGCTGTTGATATCTCTTCCTACATGTTGTGCATACACCGGTAGGTATTTTGAACCACCAATGAGAGAGCCATCTTTTGGGGTCTACATGCATTGAATGCAGAAGTGCTAGCTGATAATTGTGTGCTTGTTATAGCGTTGATTAGAATTTTATTATAATGGGGCACCAGTGTATTGTATAAAATAATGAGTTTCACCATTTATGTTGCTACATTTATCTCAATATGGATGCATTAAATTTTTTTAAACACATGCAAAGAATATCAGGAATGAAAGACAAATGCCCTTAAATCAAAAGGTAAATATCAATGATTCAGCTTTGAGCAAAAATATGATATGCAAGAGTTAGAACTGAGCAGATACAGAATGCTCCATTGAGATAGATTTATCAACATGGTGGTGGAAGCACTGCAATATTGGCTGAGGAAGGAGATAGAGTAGGAGCAATGTTGATGGAGATGAATACTGTAATGACAAAGGCATCTGGCAAATGGTATATATCACCAAAATAAAACGAAGAGACAGGGGGTGAGCTGATTGGATAAATAAGGATTTATTTAGGCCTCAAAAGAATATAATTGCTGCATATTTGACAGCTCAGATTGAGTGGACAAATGGGATGATTGATGAAAATGCAAACAACTGGACCTATCAGGCATTACTTCTTTATGCAAGCTACTAGAGTTTTTCTTTAACGAGATTTAATATATAGAAGCATAGAAATTTACGGCACAGAAGAAGGCTGTTCATCCCATTCAGTCCATACAGTCAATTCACTTTACAGTATATTCTGTGAAGCGCTTTAGGACGTCTAGAAGACATGAAAAGCGCTATATCAAATGCAAGGATCATTATTATAGCAAGAGCTAGATAGCTACCTGGAGATTGGAAAGAATCCAGAAACATTGGAGAGTTGTGCACAGGTATCAACAACAACAACTTGGATTTATATAGCGCCCTCCACGCCGGACGGCGTCTCAGAGCGCTTTACAGTTTAGGATCCCGGGACCGAGCCAGGGGGGAGGGGGAGGAGCCGGGGGGGGGGAAGGTGACCAAAGGTGCGGTCGAAAAGAAAGGTCTTCAGCAGAGACCTGAAAATGGGAAGGGAGGGAGCGAGACGAAGGGAGTGAGGAAGGCAGTTCCAGAGCCTCGGGGCATAGTGGCTGACGACACGGCCGCCGAGGGTGGAGCGGAGGACTCGGGGGACGAGGAGGAGGCCAGAGCCGGAGGAACGAAGGCAACGGGTACTGTGCTGAGGAGAGAGGAGGTTCAGCCCGGTTCAGTTGATAGCCCCCTTTCCTCTGAATCGGAAAGTTGTGGGTTTAAGCCCCAGTTTTGGACTTTGATCACGTAGTTTAGGTTGATGCTCCAGTACTGCTAAGGGAATGTTGCATTTTAGGCAAAGCCGGATTTTGCAAGAAACATTAAAACCAAAGTCCCGTCTGCTAGTTCAGGTGCATGTTAAAGTTCCCATGACACAGAACTCCTGGACCAACATCCCCCACATAAAATAATTGGTCAGCCACTTTATGGTTCTTTCCTGTGCAGAACTTGGCTCCCATGTTTGCCTACAAATGCAGTCATTATACTTTATAGAAAAATTATTTGAAGCACTTTGAGATATTTTGGCTTTATAAGATGCTATGTCAAATAATTTTAAAGATGATTACTGCCAAGTCTATTTGTAGGCAAGTACAGCGCGTCTATTGAACCAGCAAGATCTCACAACAGATATGAACTAAATCATAAATAATAATCCTTGCATTTGATATAGCGACTTAGTACATCGTTGAGACGTCTCAAAGCGCTTCACAGAATATACTGCAAAGTGAAATGACTATATACATTATTTTGTGGGAGAAACACGGCAGCCAATTGCACACATTATTGTCCCACAAACAGTGACCAATTTGAGTGACCAATTTGAGGGATTATTACCTCCGGTTAGCTATCCGCCAATCGACTAACAAATGGATTCCTGCTTACTGTTAGGTAAGCAGAAGTGTGTGGAGTAAGGAAACTTGCCTAAGGTTTTGCCCTGCCTGGGAATCAAACCCAGGTCCTCTCACTTGCGAGGCGAGTGCTTTAGTTGGATACCTGCTGCAGAAACTACTATTTCCTGATTGTACAGCACTGTGTGCAGAGCCTCTGGAAGATAGATTGATAATATTCAGTGGGGAGATGGATCAATCATGTAAAATAACTGAGAAATAGTAGATGGATTTCAATGTGGAGAAATAGAACATAATACAAAAAAGGAAACCAAACATAGCCATACTGAATGGATATCCATTAGCAAAGATGGATAAGGAAGAGGATTTGGCAATAATCATTGATTATACGCTGAAAATAGCTAGTCCTTGTCAAGTTTTAATCTCCAAAATTGATAGGCATGCACTGAAATGTAGAATTAACCATTATTTACTCAACCAGAGTAATTGGAAACGAGTATTAGGGGATGAATAAATCTGTAACTTGGCCATTAGTACCATTGTACAATTTCTCCAAGAATTTCTACATTTTACACAATGACAAGTATGTATATATAAATAGACATATCAGACATATATACGGTTATTTCTCTATCTATGTATAAGCTCTCTGAGAAGCTAGCCTGCATGGAGGGCGTTATATAAGTGCAAGTTGTTGTTGTAGTATCTCTGGCTGCACCTTAATGTTACTCTGTCCCTCAGTATTAAAAATTGGAACTTTTCTATTCATATTCCTGGTGAAGTGTTTTACGCTCTGTTCAAACAAATAGTCCAACATGCAGCACTTTTTGTTGAATTACTGTTGAATTCTGTTGAGTTAGTTCATACAAGAAATATCAGGAAAATATGCTGAACTTTATTCCAGTATTTGGAATGTGCGTTTTTAGGAAATAATTAAGCCGAAATTGAACAGAAATAGAACTTGAAGTGACCGTTCTAATGAATTGCAAGACAAAATGTAAGGTGAGATGAGACAGATTGTAAGGTTGTGCTATTCTGGAAACAGTTAATTCTCAATTTTAGCTGAGCAATCTGGCAGAGGAGTGGAAGAAAGGAAAATGTTTCTAAAGGAAGGACGATAAAATCAGAGAGCACATTTCCTTTAGAAAAAAAATTGAGACATAGAAACAACTTACAGAGGGTACGTAAAATGCTGGATATCAATCAAATGTGCCTTTGGAAACAGAAAGCTATTTTTTCCATCTGTTTGTGTTAAAAAATATGTTTAGCACAAATAGCTAGAATATGAAATATTAAAATATTAAGAATACCTTAAGAATAATAATTAATTAAGAATAATTAAAACGAGATTGCAATATGACAATATAGCAAAGAAGTTAAAAGATTAGGTTATATAAAATGCAAATGTATTATTTGCTTTTGTATTGTTCTTAGAATTGTCTACATTTTGTTCCAGTTTTGAGTTTGTCAATATTCTCTAGCTTTCTTTTAACTTCATATATTACGAATAAATTTGTGGACTTCCTCAAGTTTGCTGTTTTCAAAATATATGTTCACTTATGGAAATGTTAAAAAATTCAGAGGGAATATGGTGGAAATGTTAATACATTCAGAGGGGATAAAGAGAAACAGTGAGAATTGGCATGCAGTTACATGTAACTTTTGCAGATCCATCACCTTGAGAAGGTCAGTAATTATTTTGCGAAACAAAAAAAGCTGAAAAATGTCAGAGAAAAATGTCCCAAAATATCGGAAAGACAATTTCTTAGAATAGGAGGCAGGCATTTAAAAGTACTGAAGGAATGCAAGGCACTGAAAAATACTTGTTTGTTAAGGAACGAAACTCTCGTGGGAAAAAGTACTGCAGGGGTAACAATGCTACCATTATTAATAAAAGCGAACTTTGCAAATTCCTAAAAGAGAAGGCTGATCTTAAAATATTGTGATATGATTTGAGAACACACATCAAGTAAGATTTACTGGGAACACTGCATGGTTCATAGGCAGTGTCTGGAAGAACAGCAACAAATTACAGTTGCAGAGCACCTTTCACATCGGGAGGATGTCCCAAGGCACTGGACAGTCAGGGATTTGGACCCGAGCTGGGGGTTGGGATCAGGAGGGGTGGAGGACAGGGAGGGTAGGGGCAGGAGGGTGACCAGAGTAAACCCTATAAACAACATTGATTATTTACCGTTATGTGTGTGGAGGGGGAGGGGGGGGAATGGGGTGGGGGGTGCAGTAGGGGATATTTTGCAAAGAATGATACTGGGGGCCATTACCGGGTAGGCAGAAGTGTAGCAGACTGTGAAATGTCATCTATGTACACACAGCAGTTTCGCAGCCAATCTGAAGATTATTTTTCTGTTCTGCACTTGCATTTGGCACAGCAACTTTCACATCAGGAAGTTGTTCCAAGTCACTTCACAGGATATGTATTGTAAAGTGCTTTGACTGCATATTTTGTGGTATTTTATGGTCGTCATCCTCACGGTTGTGAGTGATGAAATCATGTTTTTTTGAGCCAGCACAAAAGCAAATAGTAACCTTCCCAGGCAGCAGGTACATAATCAGTGTCATTGTGGATGGTGTGAGGGAGGAAAGAAGACCAAAGATATTTTCTGCAGTCTTTAGGGTCTGTAAAGCAGTGGATCATTAGATAACCCACGTTTTGAAGGCATCACTTGAGAAGGTCAGATGATGAAGGTGTTAGCCTGGCAGACATTAACTCACAGTTCTGTATGGCTCTTCAGTAGACGTTAAAGATTCCCAGTGACTATTCCAAAGAGAAAGGAGTTTCCCTCAGTGTCCTGTCCAAAAATCCCCTACATAAAATTGGCCATTGATTTTATGGCTTTTTGTTCATGCAAATTAGCTGCTGCGTTTGCCTGCAAAATACACTCACTACAATTTACAGTGAATCCTGTGAAGCACTTTGAATCCTCCTTCCAGAGTGAAAGGTTCAATATGAAATGCAAGGATTATTACTATTAAGGCCAATGTCATTTGAATAATAGTGTGATTCTGGCTTTACTGTATTATCTGAGTGGGGACAATACACTGTCACTGTCATGAATAGCTATTACCAGCCATGTCTCAAGAAATCAAACTCCCTTAAATTAAGCAACAATATGATACAGTCATTGGCTTTGTAATATAAATATGATCATCAAAATTCTTGTTTACCCTAAGCTGGCGTTCATGCATTTAGTTTTGTTATTAAATATTTTAGCTTGGGTAGAATTGACTAAATAAAATGCAAAACATATCATGGTGGTAATAATGGCTTAGTCAGTGCACACACAATATATTCAGAGATTGAATTGAAGTTTTGGAAAATGTTATCACATTAAAACATTTCAAAGCACTTGAGTAATTACTGTCAGGTATAGTGACTGTTTTTGTCGGGAAATCTGGCAATCATTTGCAAAGTGCCATACATAGTCATGAGGTGAATGACCGATTAATCTGGAGACTCCCTACAGTTTTTAATATATATAAATTACTTGACTTTGTGCAAAGCAGTTAAATTATAGATAACATTGAGCTAAGAGAAAGATGACTGTAGAATCAAAGGAGGCAGCCAATATATTATAAGGAGAGCTTGATAGGCAATGTGCCCGAGATGATTACTGGCAAATTAAGTTCAACATTATTGAATGCAAGTTTCTTCATATTGGAAGTAAAAATAGGGGGTATGTATACTTTAAATGGGATAGAACTCATTGAATAATAATAATTCTTGCATTTGATATAGCACTTTATTACGTTGTTGAGACATCTCAAAGCGCTTCACAGAATACATTGTGAAGTGTATTTTGTGGGCGAAACGCGGCAGCCAATGGCGCACAGAAGTGTTGCACAAATAGTCGTAGAAAGCCATCCATCAATCGACTAACAACCGGTCATTGACGTTACTTACTACTCGGTAAACACAGGCGTGTGGAGTGAGGGAACTTGCCTCAGGTTTCACCCCGCCCGTGAATCGAACCCAGGTCCTCTCTCTTGCGAGGCGAGCATGCTAACCACTACGCTGCGGGACTCCATCAAAGAGAACGTTGAAAGAGACCCCGAGATGTTGGTTGATTCATTGCACACTGTTGTAACAACAATCCTCAAATTGAACAGGATACTGGGTCATAGAAACATGACTGTATTTTTTAAACAAAAGTAAATATTTGAATGCCTGGTAGACTTGTGGAGAAATAAGCTGGAGAGTAATTGAATTGTGGTCTAGCGGTTAGCATAGGATATATGATGATCTCATTACAGTTATGAATAGAGCTCTGTCTTCTCCAGCAGTGTCTGTGTCAAAACTGATCAGGTCAAGCAATGCAGTTGGCATCTGACTTGCTTTGTCAGAGAGCACAGTCAGGTATCTGACTACAGCAAAATGCATTTAGATTGTGAGATCATTATTAATAGTTTTCCTTATACAAACTCCAAAATGTTAGCTATTGAACACCAAACTACTCAAATACCCACATTCTTCCCAGTAAGGCATTTTACTCAGGTGGTAATTGTGGTTTTGAAGCCTCATATACCATTGGATCACTTCACCCTATAACGTGCCTTTTCTTTTTATTGTATTTCAGACTGTGTTATATAAAAAAATATTCTCTTACACAGGCAGGGAAAAAACTATGCTTACATATGATGGATTTGTCAAATTCATGACCTCACCTGACTGTTGCATATTCAATCAAGCTCATAACAAAATCTACCAACGTATGGATTTACCCTTGGTAAATTATTTCATCGCATCTTCACACAACACCTTCTTCATGAATGATCAGTTGATTGGATGGAGCAACCTTCATGGATATATAAGGTAGCCTACCTTAGATCTTATTGTAATTGAAGGTATTAGGAACTACAGTGTCTTGGGATGTCCTCCCGATGTGAAAGGCGCGATACAAATGTCATTTTGTTGTTGTTATAAAACATTATTCCAGTTTTATTGTGTATATGTGTTGAATGTATTTGTTGAAAGCAGTTGAAAATGGTTGTTGTTTTCTAGAATTATGAATTCTTTGGCACAGGATGTTTTCCCTAATCTTTGTTAACATCTTTATTGTGATTCCATAGTAATTTGATTACATTGTGAATATGTTAAAATGCACATTTACCTTGATGTTTCAAAAATCAAGCTAAAGTGGCTTCAAATGACATTGACAGTTTTATATTGTACTATTAAAATGATTATGTGATTAATATAGTTAAAACATAAAACTACATATTGACAGATACGATTCTTTCTGAGTATATATCCGAGTTGTTTAATTATCGCCAATGAGTGAACAGAACGAATCATCCTGATTAAAACTTGTAATAGCACTCAGGCACAAACTGCAATCTCAGAGGAAATATTCAACAAACATTTGATAGTTTTGTTAAATTCATGACTTCACCTGATTGTTGCATAGTCATTTGATACCAAGGTCCAACGACATCAGTTAATGAAGGGAACCACGACTTATGTGGATAAATAAAAATTGTTTGATGTATGTTCATTTAGGGAGTTGCATTGAGCAATTACATATTACGTAAGATTTTGTTGATGGCTGAGAGAAGCTGTGTATAGTTTCTTTTGATTTGCAAAGGGAATGATTTGAGAAGAGAGTGCACATAAGATCCCAAGTAAGGTAGGATTGAAAGGATTATTTAGCTTATGTAGCATGCTTGGTTTGTGACATTTCAATCATGTGTGTATTTATCCTTTTTTTACCAATTTTCCCTTGTACTCCTTATAAAATCAACAATCATTTTTTTCATTTTAAATGATTCAATAGAGTTTCAGTTTACTGAGCTAAGCAAGTTCAAGTATGTTGGATGGACCAATGGTCAACTCCTTCCAAAATATATTAATATATAATCTTATATAATAATAATAATCCTTGCATTTGATATGGCACATTATCACGTCGTTGAGACGTCTCAAAGCGCTTCACAGAATATTTTGTACAGTGAATTGACTGTGTATTTTCTGGGCAAAACACGGCCGCCAATTGCGCACAGCAGCGTCTCACAAACAGTCGTGGATTGAGTGACCACTTTTTTTTCTCTCTGAACATTTAAAGTTTAACGTATTTATGCTTGTTCTATGTTTAACTATAGTAAGCCTGGCATCAAATCCTTTTTCTTACTTCTTGCAATGAAAATGTTACCATGTGTGAATGAATAATAACATACTGGAATTTCATAACTAGCAATGTTCTCAAGTGTTGTCTCCATAGCACCAACTTACGTTTATATAATGCCATCCGTATCAGGAGGACAGCTTAAAGCACTTCACATAGCTGAAGAGGGTAAGATGATGAAAATCATTACAGGATCATTATACCTCCTGTCTGCTCAATCATTAAAATGCAGCGGTGCACTGAAGTATTGGAGCAGATGTTACTGTCGTGGATGAATGACATTCTGAAGACATGACCACTCGGCTCAAACTGTGGACTTGTTATTTCTCATGGGGTCAGTAAGGAGGGAAGAACTGCGGAAGTGGAGCAGCAACGCTATTGGGAATAATGGAAGCATGGAATCCTGGCAGAAAATCAGCGGAAATTACAACTGAAATGGCTTTGTAGATCAATATCCCAATGGTCAATTGTGCTCAATTGGCTGCCACATTTCGCCACAAAATACCCGGTCACTACACTTCACAAAATATCTTGTGAAACGCTTTGAGACTATATGTACTGCACTAACTGTACTGCCATGTTTACATGTTAGGCCATCTCTCCCCAGCAAAAATCTTACATAATATTAATAATCCTTGCGTTTGATATAGCGCCTTATCGTGTCATTGGGAAGTCTCAAAGCGCTTCACAGAATGTATTGTAAAGTGAATTATAATGTCACACCTCTGCTGTGACCACTAGAACTTGCAAGGACTCATCTGACCATTCTTGTTTGTTTTCTGTCATACATCTGAGAATATTTCTGTCACACGAAGGACAGGAGAACAGAATGAATAGCGCAGAATATGTTTCCAACCTTTTGACTGATGGAGTTGAAGGCTTCTACACAGCTCGTAGCGTAATGATGGATGGTGTTTGTATAAATGAGGAGCTGACTGTTCAGCGCCTTGGAACGTCCTCCCGGTGTGAAAGGCACTTTACAAATGTAATTTTGTAATTTGTAACAAAAGTTACAGGAAAAGTCTTACAACCCAGGCCCTAAACATCAGCTCATTGCAAACAATGTTTGTACTAAACTTCAAGGGTTTTCCCCCAAATCAAAAAGTTTGGTCCTTTAATGTTTCACAAATTCAGTATTTTTTGAGATTCTCTAAACACTCAGGAGACTGTTTTATCAGCTTATATACCCCCCAACCCAAGTCTTTAATGCGAGCAGTTGACATCAGTCATGTAATAATAATACTTGCATTTGATACAGCGCCTTATCACATTGTTGAGATGTCTCAACGTGTACTTGGTAAATGATGGTCAGGAATGTGAGTGATCATTCTTTTCATTTCATTTCTGGAATGCCAACCCACCGCTGTCACTGATTCCTAAACCCATTGAATACACAACAGCGCACCCACTGCTGCGACGCAATCATTTTCAGTGGCAAGAATTTGACAGAAAAGACTTTCAAGCGTAAACAATTATTGGAAAAATTAGGGGAATACTTTTAAAAAATTGTATTACAAATAAGATTGAAAGCATGTCAAGCAGCTTTAGAAAGCTGGTGCTTGCTGAAAAATACACGACTGCATAAGTTTTTTGTTTTGGTCAGCTGGGTGTCTGAAGCCCATCACCGTTGCTTAAGAGTCTCCAAACCAAACTGAGAATTCCATGCATCCCACCTCCACCTGGAAATCCCAGAGATATATTGTTGGACTGGAATGCGTTCTCTCTCTCTCTCCTTCTCCCTGGAGAGGCTCATCCTGTTTACCTAATTCTGGATACTGAATCCAGTACCTGCTGTTTCTGAGCTGTGGATCAGGCTAAGTATTGAGTGGATTGTTGCACTTTGTTTGATCGCTGTGATATTGTTTTAAAGAAATCTCAAACAGACGACTATTGCTGGAGATTGTTTTAGTACATTTGAAGCGCTTTGAGATGCCTCAAAGACGTGATAAGGCGCTCTATCAAATGCAAGTGTTATTATTTCAAGCAATAAATGTGTACGTTTTTTGGGGGGATGGGCAGGCTCGGACATTAAAGACCATTGTTTTTCTGTCCAAAATAAATAGACAGAGCTACTTGTTTAGATTAAACAGTTTATATTTCCGAAGAACACTAATGGTTAACCTGTAACAGATAGAAACTATCTATATTCAGATGCCCAATAAATGAGGAACAGGGAAAAGATGTATTGATTGTACTCTGTGTCTGAATTTCTTAAAATGTACAGCAACATGAACTAGCTTATCTGAGCCCATAAAACGTTAAATCTCTGAGATTCGTGAGTCATGACGAAAGCTTTATCACAGAACGTTCAAACTTTCCTGCAATGGGCATGTAATAACCTGCCTGAAACCAAGAGACAATTGATTGGATGGATTGCTAAAAAAAAAGTGAAATAAATAATTAAAGTGCTTTTATAACACGTGTTAAAATAACACCCTGGAAGCGGTAAGAATGTATAAAGTGAACTGAGATGAAGAAGCAAGATAATCCTTGTTGATTTAGGGCTACATTTAGCATCTTGATACAGTAGCGTGATTAGCTCTTTATGTTTAATTCATGCCATTGCTAATTATAAGCCATTTAACTGTTTACTGCAATTAATTCATCTAGCCGTCTTCTATTCGTGTGACAATCCCAAAGTCAATGCCTGGCAAAAAAATGAACCAATAACTCCTGCTCAAAGTGGACTCGAAAGGCCTCTCAGTTACAATATTATGAGGAAAATAAATTGCGATGTTCAAAAAAGAAAAATGAAGGGCCTTGGAAACGTGTGTAAAATGGGAACTTTATGCCGTAGGTACAAGGAGAAAGGTACGGGTGATGTATGAAATAGCTTGCGGCAGTTTGAGGTGGAGAGACACACTTCTCTCCCACTCTGGGACTTTAGGCTGACAGAGATTGAGGGGATCCATCAGTCTAGTTCGGGAAAGTTCGGCTCTGGACGGCATAGCTCAAAATGCAGACAAATCCATCACCGGGCTTCTGAATGTGGCAAAAACAAAGTGCGTACAACCATGGAGAGAAACAGGATGGTGAAGCTGCATTGTTTTGATGTTAGTATCTAAATACATCCGGTGACCATTTCGATTAAGTCTGCATTGAAAGAATTTAGCATTGAGATTGACCAATTTAATTAAACTAAGTTAACTAATAATAATAACAAACCTTGCATTTGATATAGTGCTTTTCACGTCTTCGAGACATCTCAAAGAACTTCACAGAATACACTGTAAAGTGAATTGACTTTACGAAGAGCGGCAGCGAATTGCGCACAGTAGTGTTCCACCAACAGTCATGAATTGACTGACCAAATTATTATTAGAATTTTTTTGAGGGATTCTAATATCCGGAAAAGTGATCCGCCAATCGACTAACAACCGGGTTCCTACTTATTGCTCGGTGAACTGAGGCGTGTGGAATAAGGAAACTTGCCCAACATTTCGCCCTGCCTGGAATCGAACCCAGGTCTGCATGTTTCTTTGAAGCTCACTTAAACAAACATTACAGTATCAATCTTCTAGTCTTGTTGGGGACAGAAGCAAGAAATGAAACAAAAAAAATCTCAAAATGTTTCCAAAATGCCAGATATTACCAGAGAGTTCTTGAAAATTTGCAGGGATCAAAAACAATTGTCAGCGACGGACACATTCCCTGCATCACTGTGAAGCAATATGGTTTTACGATTTATTTCTGGTATTGACCTTAGAGGGCTCAGTGCAGTACAAATTAAACTGGATGTTAGGCTCTGTTGAAACCTTAATCATTTCAAGAGCGTCACAAAGAAGCGACAGCCTTTAAGTATGTTTTTTGTATAAATGATTAAAAACCTTGGTTAAAGGCCAAGGCTCCCGTTATGATTCACCACCAAAAGTGAAATGCGTAGCAGTGAAATGTGAGGTAAAACAGGAGCTTAGTTCTTAAATGAGTGTCATAATCTTACTGATGCTTGCATTTGATATGTGCCTTATTGTGTCAGGACTCCTGTAGCATATTGGTTTGAGCACTCGCCTCGCAAGCGAGAGGACCTGGGTTCCCACTGCTTAAAGGAACAGCTTGTATAAAATTAATGCTATTGACAGTAGAATAGCTGAGCAAATGAACTTCAAACAAGCATGGCACTCTCACTGCTCTAACAGAGCTGAAATTTGCTTGTGGGAATGATGTTTTGATATTGTCACCCAGTCAGGAAAAGAGAGAGAGCTAATCGTTGCAGCTGTTGCTCTACCAGACCGGGACACAGGGTAGATGGAGGTAGCAATGCTTGTGCGAGAAGTGTGTGAGACCAACTGTAATTAACACAATCTAAAACGCAGACCTCGCACGTCTCTGTAATTCCCTACCCAGTGAGCTCACCGTCTCAGCTGTGCTATCAGGGGAAGCCCTGATCCAGGTGCTAACCCACAAGGCTATCACCTCAACATGCTCGCACAGGCTTCCCAGTGGCATTGATGGAGTTCAGGGAGCAAATGCTCACTCAACATGTCTTGGGGGCACGAAAGTATCCTTCAGATAGATGAAGATACATTGATAATAAAATTGGTGAGAAAAACATCTTTTGACTTATGAGAAACTAGCAAAGCTGAATTTGTTTCCAGTGGAAGGAAAAAATTCAACCGAGCCATGATCCAGGTTTTGAAAAATGATGAAAGGCACAGATGAGTTAGATGTAAGCAAATGATTTGAACTAGATGCTCTTTCAATTAATTCCCTTAAAATTGAACTGAATGACCAAGGGGCCAGTGTTGGAGGCTAAGGAGTTGGTGTCAACTGGAATAATATAATGAGGTTAATTTACCTATATTATCACACTGTATAATTCAAATACTTTTCATTTAAAGATACTTAACCAAAGAAAACTAATGCTAATAAGGCAAATCCAATTTAAACTGGGCCATTTAGGTGTGAACATGCATTTCTCTTTGAAAGGACATTATCTAGGTCACAGGGTACTTAGCTTTTCTTAAGGTTGAATCTCAGGTTCCAACATTCAGCTGAAGGATGGAGTGATTGGTTCATTGCTACTTTCTGATAACAAGTCTTTACTTCCAGCATTTATTTTATTCCAGACTATTAAGAGAGATGGGTAATACTCTGCTATTCAGTCATAAGCTTTGAAATAGGAGTTGGTTGTTAACATAATAAGAACATAAAAATATAAGAATTTGCTGGACGAAAGAAGACTTATTATAAGGTCCATCCAGTTCACCTTCCACCACCCTGGTTGTTGCTTGACATGTCGTGTCCACTGTGATGCTGAAACCCTCCACCAATAATACAAATAATAAAATTATTTTGATTTGAAAAGTCCAGTTGTTAATGCGATGTTAAACCAAACCTTTAAAATAAGCTTCAAAGCATAATTTTAATTCAATCAAAAACATTTTCAAAATGTACTTCTACTTGCTCTATTGTCTTTTTTCCTCCTATTCTTTTTTTTCTCATTTTCCCTCTGTTCAGTACTATAGTATTTTTTATCTGTGGTTTTCTATCCAATGTAATAGACTGACGTTTGTTCTGCAGGTCACACTGTTTAACTTTTTACTTGCCTTCTTCACCTTCCTAGCTTCCACCTTTTATTTGGGATAAAAACAGCTTTATCATTATTTTAAAACGTGTTTAGACAATGAAAAAACACTCATGTAAAGAATCTCTTAATCCTCAATGCAACCAGATTAATTGATGATGCGTAAAAATGCATCAGACATGACATACTTTGTGAAACAAATATTTTTTTTTGTCAGTCCCAGCGATACACATCAGTTGGACAAGTAAACATGACTGGCATTGTGAGGCTTTAAGAACTCACTGCCATATGTTACATGGAGATTCCAGCCACATCCCACTGACTTTAGTGCAGAAAAGCATTGAGCTATAACAGTGTTATCTCTACTTCTAGTGGGAGTACTGTACTTCGAACAAAAGAACTCCCTTTTGACTTCAGTTCCTCAGTAATATCTTGCAGCAAGAGCTAACTTTATTTGACTGATAATGGTGTTGTGTGAACTGAGGGCCTGCAGACTTAATTAGAATGGACACAGAATAATAAAACTGCCAATGAAGTTGAGTCAATATTAATCATTTACCTTCCTTTGTTTACAAGTGCTTTGAAAAAGGGTTGCCGCTGTTTGGAGATAGTCTGTTGCGACGGACCAGAAAATGAGCCCATGGTTTACCACGGTCTTGCAACATCATCTCAGATTCTGTTCAAGGACGTCATTAATGTTGTTAATTTGTATGCGTTTGAGGTGGGTGGTGTTTAGTTTTACAACCAGTAAAGTTTGACTCCGAAGGGAAATCTACTTTCTGAATATTAGATTAATATGTATGGAGATGTAGTAATACAAATATCAGAGTTCCCAATGTAGATTGGATGGTTTGAGCACAGTTGTAGTGGTCTAACCCTACGCACATATGGACAGGTATCTTTAAACATGTGACACATCACCAATCAATAGGATTACAATGGGTTCTGTATCAATTAATTAAGTGCGGTTTCAGTTGGAAACAGGTTAGGTCACGGATGGGCTATTAGCCCAACCAGCATTTTAGACCTTGTCATTATTATAGCAGCGCTTAACAGTGGCGGAGGAGGCAAGGTGGTGGGATTGGGGGAGAGAGCTCCAAAGCTTCTGGGCGTAGAGCACGGCCGGTGATGGTGGAGTGGAGGGGACAAGGTACAAGTACACATGTAAGTGCAATCATATGTTTGATTAGCATAGGCTTAGGCCAAGTTCACAGGTATCCTTTGCAAAAGTTCTATTGTTTTTGTCACAGGCATCTGATTACCCCTTGATACTTTCGTTAGAAGTTCACTGCAATCCAGTGCAACAACATTCAGTAGCTGATTATCTTGGCAATATTCTGGGAAACAGATTATTCACCCTGAGTTCTACTGGGAATTTGCCATCTAAATTACCTTCACCTAAGGTAAGCAGCTAGCAGAAATAGAAATGTTTTTTTGGATGTACATTGAATATGGGGATAACATTATTTTAGATATTAATATTGCTTTATGATTGTAGCCCAGTGACGAGCCTTGGAGAGGGTAGAGGAGTGACAAAAAATTGGCTATAATAATAATAATAATCCTTGCATTTGATACAGAACCTTATAACATTGTTGAGACGTCTCAAAGCGCTTCACAGAATATGCTGTGAAGTGAATTGACTGTATATAGTGTTCCAGAATTTTGGGACATAGTGGTTGAAATCGTCGCTACCAATGGTGGAACGGAGGGTGAAATTAACAGTGAACAATAAAAAAAATGAAAAATTAAAAAAAGAGGTGAGGGAACAAGAGGGTGTTGATGTAGGATTTACAATGTTCTTAAATTGAATTGGAAAGAGGTCAACCGGAAGATTGTGAGACCAAATAGGTAAGTAATATCAAGCTTTCTTGACAAGGTATGCCGCAAAGGGAAACAATACTTTATTTAACATTTATTTAACGTGAGCCTGAGATAGTAAAAACTTCAAAGGGGGAAATTATTTGAGATCAGTGATTATAATTCTAACATCATGAGATGTAGCACAATGGAACAGGGAAATAAGAGCAATATATAAATAAACAGCAGATTTCAGGCGGGGAGGGTAAGTTGTTTAAAAGCCTTTAGATAATTGGGGACAATACTTTGCAAAACTCAAGTGCTTTTAAAGTAATATAGCAGCAAAGGAAAATTAAATTTATATCTAAGTAAAAGCTTTGATACAAAAGCTTCAATGAAGTTGGAAAGCGTATTTTTATATTTTTAACAAAATAAGTATATTGGGAAAGTGGAGTTTAAGTACAAAACTGACTTTGTGTCCATTGGAAGAAAAATGAGATGTCTCGAAGACGTGATAAGGCGCTGAAAAAATGCAAGGATTGTTCGTATTACATTGCATCTCCTTCCAGCTTAAACTTTCACATAGCTCCAATTCTACCTGAGCCAACCTGCCCAAGAATGTGAAGTGAGAGTTAATTACTAACCATTTTCTTAGAACTGTGCCTTACTAGATTGGAAAACTCCAGCATACACTGAACTCTCCAGCTCTTATCTTCACGAGTTTCTGTCATTCATTGCGCATTGTAAAATTTCCAAAATAAACAGTTCACAAAGACTCATTTTTTCCATCAAATCAAACTGGATTTACTCATCAGTCTTGCATCCAATGCAATCTTAAAAGCGTCATTGACTGACAGAGCCGTATCATAGAAAGCAACCATGTAAATCACTGACATGATTTCACTGCATCAGAAAGAGGAAGTTACAGGAGAATGTGCATACATATAATGTATGTTGTGAAAGCTCCTGAAATCTGGTACTGATGGGTGAGTGAACCTGCGTGTGAATCACAAAGAGTTAAATCTATTGTACACATGATAGAGTAAATTACAAACACTGATTACAACACTTTCTCTCTCATTCTCCCCCTCAATCATAGTAGGGTAAGCATGGGAATATAAAATGAAGATACAAAGTGATGCTGGCATAAGCAACACAGCAATCTTGATGTGCAGAAATCCCTGGAGCATTATAAAATACATAAGTACATAATTATTCACTTTTCTACTCAGGCAATGAATACTCTACTGTCTATTATCACTGGTGGCCTGAAAGTGCAGCATACAATTTCAATTGTGTCATCTCTGTATTATTTAAATTGTAAATATTACTGAAAAGTTGCTTCTGAAGTAACGAGAAGGTTGGGAGGAGCTGCAGGTACTCCTGAGTGCCCACCATTATATCAGTTCTAATGTCTCAAAAGATCACAAGTGAGATTTAGATGCAGATTCTTCTGCCCATTTGATCTCATCGTTTATGATACAACCCTATCATTCTCCAATTACAGCATCAACATGTTTCTTAAATGAATCAAGTGCACTGACCTGTACCACTTATCTTTGTGATATGTTACAACTGATAATTGTCCTCTTTATAAGGAAATACTTTCCTGGAGTCTATTTTAAATTTGTGCATCTCAGCTGTGCCCTCTTGTCCTGTTTCCTTGGTGAGCATGAAATGATTATTTTGACCGAGCCTTTGGTCTCCCTCCTTCATGGGTTATCAATGTCATTATCTCATAGAATCATAGAATTTTACAGCAAAGAAGGAGGCCATTCGGCCCATCGTGTCTGTGCTGGCTCTTTCAAAAGAGCTTCCAAATTCAATCCCACTCCCCCTCTTGGTTTTCATTCCAGCTTTCCTCAGGCTTTGGCTGCCGGGTTAACAGGAACTGAATGAGTGGGATAACTCACTGCCCACAGGGACTGGTCTACCCTCAAGTTATTGTTGATTACAGTATATCACGTGAAGCACTTTGGGACATCCTTCTGATGGGGAAGGTGCTATATCAAATGCAAGGATTATCATTCTAAATAATAGGGAAACTTTGCTGACCCACCATTTTTATTTTCCGAATCTAGCAAGACAATTGTTCAATTCAAACCTGAAATTGGCAATGCATTTGAGAAATACAGTCTCTGAATATAACCAATTTGATTCCAGTTTAAAGAGATTGGCTCGAGAAGAAGACTTCATTGTGTAAACACAACGAACTTCATTTAATATCATGAGAATAGAGATATGTGAAGGCACATCCAATAGCTGCTTGCTTCCATGAGGTCACTTTATTGGCATGCGTCCATAATGTTTCACTAACTATATGACCGTAATGCATTTGGCAGACGTTAACATTCAAGCTAATGCAAGGCTACCAAGTTGTATTGTGGCTCTACCCTCGCATTAATATGTCTTTGTCAAGTGTAGGCTCCTTTTCTTGTATTTAAGGGGAAGGCGGCAAAATGTTGTAGGCACAATGCCTAGAATTTATTGTTTAAAAATATTAATTTATATAACACATCCCTTCTGTCTTTTATATTAATAATAATATTCCTTTCAGTTGAAAATGTGTTCTAAAAGTAACCTGGAAAAGTCAGAAGACCTTCAAGTTAGGGAACACGCCTGAGCATCTGTCTAACATATTAAATTTAGAGGGAATAATAATGGCCATGAACCATGGGCTGAAGGCATTTCATTACATAGAGAATGGCAATGCGTATAGTAAGGACATGTAGGATGATGGATACAGATTGATATCGAGGAAGGGAAATAGAATATGAATGGGCCCCTGTGCTTCAGTAAGCAGAAAAGGGAGTGGAAGGTGATTAAGTGGACAATCACCGAGAGCGGAGGTGGATTGTAGTTGTAGCACAATGATATACGAAAAGAGCTTGATAATAAATAGTAATGAAACAGTCATAATATTAAATATATTTACAGAGAAGGTAGAAGAATGAAAGATCTTTCAGCTGAAATATGAATTTATTAAATAAGTTATTGATCCGTAACATACATTTTTGAAAAACTGCACAGGGACTTGAAAGATGAGTTGAAAGTAATATAAGTACAGTATATGAGAAAAGCCTGTCTTTTGTACATCGAGATATGTTTTTTGCATCGGAAATCAATAAAATAATGCCAGCAATTGTAAATATGAACATATTTGGGGCAAAAAAGTTCTGCTTTCCACCAATCATTTCAACAGAGTTTCAGGCAATTATGATCCAGCTCACACATTCATATATTCAATGTATGTAAGTAAACTAAGATTAGCATTTAATTACTGCAAGATAAAATGTTTTAATTTGCTGTTGGGGCTGTGTTTTACTTTAACGTCGTATTTGGTTTACTGTTAGTAATGGAAAGACACATTATTGAGGCTATGAAACTGCAACTTTATTGTATTGTGCTCGTTAAATATGTATGATAATTAAATGAAACTGCTGTAAAACCTCAGTGGGTCTCTCTGGCACTGTGGAGACATTTTTGATGAAGTCACCTTGGCTCATTAGTAGCACTCTCGCCTCTAAGTCAGAAGGTTATGGGTTCAAGATTCCACATCAGACAGGAAAGTAATCGGGAAGCATTTCTTTATCCAGAGTGTCATTGGCTGCCGAGTTTGCAAGCAAAAGACACAGTCACTACACTTTACAGTAAATGCAGTCGAGCCCTTTCAGATGTCTTACTGTGTTGAAAGCCACAATATCAAATGGAAGGATTATTATTAACAACTGAACTAATTACCAGGAAAGGTGACTGAGGCCAAGAAAATAGACTCATTAAAAAACACACAGCTATGGCGGGAGGATGTTCTGGAGGATGAGATCAAATGAACGAAAGAGACGTCTTCAGCCACACCTTTTTTGTGATTTGCGATAACTCCTCATATGTAGAAATTATACACATCTGACACCAGGAACAGCTGTTCTGTCTTTCTGCAGTAACACACATTTGAACGGTACTACGGTCAATAATTTGCCAATTTCAGATCGAAAATGAAATGATTTCAACAGCAGAAGAAATACAAGTTTAAAAATGTTCCGGCTGACTTCTATTAGTTAATGGTCAGTTAATGTATCCCAATTGTAATGGTCCTGACAGATTCAAGGCAATCGGTACCATAACAAATAGTATCATCAATTTATCAATCGAGAAATTCACTGACTTAGGAATGATGTATGTTATCAACTTTTGTACCAGCTATCACCTTAGACTTCAGGATGGTAAAAAACATTACAGTATAGTAATAATAATAATCCTTGCATTTGATATAGCGCTTTTCACGTCTTCTAGACCTCTCAAAGCGCTTCACAGAATATACTGTAAAGTGAATTGACTGTATATTTGTGGGCGAAACGCGGCAGCCAATTGTCCCACAAACAGTCGTGGATTGAAGTGACCAATTTATTATTGCTTTTTTCTTGAGGGATTATTATCAGTAAGGAAACTTGCCCAAGGTTTCACCCTGCCAGGAATCGAACCCAGGTCTCTCGCTTGTGAGGCGAGTGCTCTAACCACTGAGCTACAGGACTCCATAAATAATGCATGTCATATGTTATCATGTTATATCTTCACACAACATTATTCAAGGAGAAAAGATTGGTAAGATACATGTCTATTGTGAATATTACTGTGCTGCCGTTTCCCACTCAATTTCAGTCTTGCATTTCGTTTTCAGGAGTTAAAACGTAAGATAATCATAAGGAGTAAGAAAGTTGGATCAATATTAGAAACGTTCCGAAGAAATGGGGAAATTCAGGAGAGAGAAATTGGAGAATATATAGAAGAATTGGACCCAGAAGAAGAAATTCCAGGCAGGGAGGCGTCAAGCAGAACAAGTTCATTCAGACCAAAGAAGAAAAAGCTTAAGGTAAAACGACAAACACTCTGCACAATACACATGCTAAGCCGCATTGGTTTAACATTTAATTACTAAGCCCTTAATTACTATTTTCTAGACAACAAACGTTTACAGACAAATAACAAACAATGAGATCTGCAATATGTGCCTAAGACATTCTCAAAATACATTCCAAGGGGNAAAAAAAGAGATTTCATAACAGATTCAATGATGATCAAACATGTTATCAAATCCGTTATGAAACGTTACTATTTCTATCTATTCGTAAAGGGAGTGAATATCCCCAATGGTTTTGTCCAAAGTTACTTTTCAGCACTTTGGCTAAACCAAGTCCTATCTTTTTCAACTCCAAGGCATTATGTACCTTTTCACAGGATACCAATCAAACTGTTTGTATTTTACTTTCAATGGCACAAAAACAACATTGTCCGTGATTGAGAGCAAGAATGACATGCAGAAATCTTGGCTCAACTATTTGCCTGAATATGAGAGAGACATTGTTGTACATCGAATCTATTTTCACAATACCTGATTATACTTTTTCTGATTAAGGCCCTCTAGTGCCATTGCAAGTATTTATAGTTGGTAGATGGTTTGATTTGCAAATAATTTGACATCAGATTTAATGCACTTCCTCTTCCAAAGAAACCTAAATGGGAGTTACTTAGTGTGTGTGTTGTTGACACAATGCAAGTGAGCCAAATGCCAAAGGTGGAAGCGTAATACAGTACCAATGAAATTGTCTTCTAAATTATACTTAAGTTCAGTTTTGTAATTCTTTTCACTGAACATTACCTTCCGTCTTGTTTCTTGGTATTTTCTGCAGGAAAGAAAGATTCGAATTGCAATGAAGCTATCAGATTTAATTATATACTCAAAGTGTGTTCAATTCAAAAGCCTGAAACATTCAATGGAACATCAGGAGTTCTACGAAAGCAATTCATTTTCAGAACAAAGAGTCCTGAAGTTGATCAAGCAGTCAGGTAAGGCACATTCTTATTCCTTCGCAAATGTAGTTTAAAATTGACGAGAAATATAGGGATAACATTTACGCTAGAAAGAGCATTCATGAAATAAATTGGGCGAGTCAGATGCTGGGATCCCGAAAGGAACAAAGGTAAGTGGTGCTGCCTCCTTCTGGCAGTCATCAAATGTTCCTTAACGTACTTAAGGACAGCACGTTCCACTGCAAATTTTGCTCCAGAGTTATTTTATCGACCCTCCTACTTTCCTCTTCCTTTGCTACCTTATATGAGAAGGTGAAGCAAATAGCAATGATGAAACAAATGTATTGCAGTGCAGTCCATACTGCACGGTGATATAATAATATAAGATATAAGTGCCTCTCTCTTTCCCCACTGGCCTCACTTGCAATGCCATCTTAGGCTCGTTGTGCTCTAATGGATTGCTTTCCTGCAGATGTAAATAAAGACATTAAACACCAAAATTTAAATAAGTGATGAATTCACTATTAAAGTGTTTAAGGGGGATGTAGATCATGACTTCAGTAGAAATGGTGTTAAGGGATAGAGGGAAAGTAAAAATAATAAAGTATTGAAGTGTAGGATATCCTTTTAAGAGGTAGTAATCCTATAATAATCCTTGCATTTGATACAGTGCCTTTTCACGTCTTCGAGACGTCTCAAAGCACTTCACAGAATATACCACAAAGTGAATTGACTGTATATTTTTGGGGGGTGGGAAGCGGCAGCCAATTGCACACAGCAGTTGAGAGTTAAAAGCAGTTTAGAGGTAAAAGGCAATCAAGAAAGAGAATGAAATAGAGCAACAACAGCTTACACTTATATAGCGCCATCCACACAGGGTAGCGTCTCAGAGTGATTAAAGTAGCAAGTAGGACGTATAAAGGGATGCTGGAAAGAGAACCAGGGATGGGTTTATGGTTGGAGTAGAGAATAAAGGATTAAGAATCATTACTGGCTTGATGTCCTTTCATCTGCTGCTGTATTCCTTGATCAGACAATGTACCCAGTAGGACTATCAACAGCAGGTTTTTGAGAATCTCAAATCATTCACTCTTTTCTACAATTTTCTCCACCTTGGAGTCCCTCCAACTCGCCCCCTCTCTCACCTCGATTAATGTATTTTTGGTCATCTTTCCTCTCCCGATTCCCTTGGCTCCCACCCCAGGTTTGGCTGCCCAGCCAATACTATTAAGTACCTTGGGACAAGTTGCTGTATAAATGTAAATTTGTATTATGTTGAACAATTTAACATGTTTGGTGTTTGCAGCAACTGAATCCTCACAATTAGAGCAGAATAGTTTACTGGTATATTGGATTGGGTTAATTATCATGCCACAGCTGTTCTGTTGCCCACGGGTGGTGCAAGGATATATGTGAGGCTTGAGATATAATTTATCTCAAGGTTAGAGTGGAAGAGAACTTAATAGCTTGGCTAAGAACTTGTCAAACTCCTCCAATTAATGGAGGTGTTACAATAAAGGTTACCGTTGCAGTTCAAACTAGTTTAGCATTCCAGTGCTGTAGCTTCCAGGCTGCTGGATAGAATATCTCTAATGAGGACTTCTTNAAAAAAATCCAAATTATGCTTCCCGTAAGAGCTCGATAGATTATTTTCCATCATTTCCACGGCAGCCCGTTGACATAGCACACAGGTACCATGTGTGCAGCGTGGATTAGTGGGATATGGATTCATTGTGCGGTCGAAATGAGAAGGCGAATAAACCCTGTCACTGCCTTTTATGGTTGTTGGTGCTCAACCCTACATGTGAAGGGAGCTAACAAGGGCTAGACTCCAATCAATGATAATTGGGCACGAGTTTAATAATAATAATAATACTTGAATTTCATATAGCGCCTTATCATGTCTTCGAGACGTCTCAATGCGCTTCACAGAAGATAAAGCTGGGTGCTAGTGCAAAGTGAGGGGAGCCTGGAGTAGATGGATGGAAAAAGGGTAGAGCTTCCTTATCAAAATAAACATTTTTTTTTGTTAAATCTATTGTGAAAGTTTTGTTTTTCGGGGGTGATCCACACCCTTGTTTAGTGAGTAAATCTGAGGTCAAGATAATCTGGGTTCTTCCTCTTGTCACAGAGCTGTATTGGCAAAGGCCTGACAGGCTCACTGTCTTACCTTTTCAATCAGAGAATATAAAATAATAATCCCTGAGTTTCATATTTTGTTTCAAAGTGCTTTACGGGACTCACCCTAAAGTGACTGAGTGTTTGGAATTTAGATACAGGCATTTTTTTAAAGAAAGTACCAGACGCTGTGGACTTTGACACTAACGGCCACTCACCAATGTTGATTGAAGGGGGTTAAGTTCAAAACAAACCTGCGGAAACACTTATTTCAGTGAGCGAGTAGTAAATGTATGGAACAGACTCCCTAGGGAGACGGTGGAAGCAGAAAGCGTCGATTCTTTCAAAAGAAAATTGGACAGGTTTCTTTTAGGAAATAATATCTTGGGATACAGTATATAGTTTGGGAGATGACACGTGGATGCGGACTGCAAGGATGGTGGAAGGCGAACTGGATGGAGCTTGGTCTTCTTTCATCCAACAAATTCTTATGTTCTCCTAAACTGATTTCCTTTCAGTTTGTGAACTTGTTCAACACAATTCAAGATTCCTTTCTCGAACCTACCCTTCCGGGAACAGAAGAGGCATTTCCAACTACAAACCCCATGAGTTCTGGAATGTGGGCTGCCAAATGGGTGAGCTTCAATTGTGTTCACACTGACTACATATTTCCTTCATGTGACCCAGAACAGTCAGAACACACAGTGAGTCAGTTAGTACTCTCTGGGTCTTTCAGAGTAACAGTGACAGATACTTGAGTACCTAGAAGTACATAATGCTGACATACAGAATTGCATAGACCATTAACGCTATAACGTGCAATTATATCTCTCTCTGACCTACTATCCCCCTACTTACCTGCCCGTACCCTCCGTTCCTCTGGCTCCGGTCTGCTCCACATCCCCCGCCCCAACCGCCCTACCATCGGTGGCCTTCAGCCTCTCAGCCCCGAGGCTCTGGAACTCCATCCCCAGTGCCTTCGCCGCCTCCTCCCTTTCCTCCTTCAAGGCCGGTCTCAAGACCTTTCTCTTTGACCTTCAGCCTTCAGCTCCCCTCTCGACTCTCTACCCCCTCCTCGCTCCCTCCCTTCCCTCACCCTGACCATTTCCGCCCTGCTCGGGTCCTGACCCAACTGTACAGCACCTTGGGACGTCCTCCCAACATGAAAGGCGCTTTATAAATGGAATCTTGTTGTTGTTGTTGTTTCACCTTTCACACGAGTATTATCTTGGAGTGCTTAACATCAAACAGAACTTAATGCACAGAAACAGATCACTAGTCCATTCTGGTGTTAATAATTCACATAAGCCTCCTGATCCTCTTTCCAATGAAAATGGCAGTGATTTCCCATGAAAGGAACCATTGTTGGAACATGTGTACTCTAAGAACGATTGGACTTTGATATTGTTGTTGCTTTTGTATTTGACAAAGGCGTTCTACTTCTGAGAGTTTGGCTCTGCTAAAGGTAAAATAAGCGCCAGAGGATTGGTTTTAATTGGTTTTGAATATTGCATTCATTTAAAAGAGAATTTTGCCAGGTCTGTTATTTTTCTCTAATTCAATACCCCGGTGCTATGATTTGGAATCGCTTACCTTCCAAATTGGTTTCCCTGTTGTCTCAGTAGTGCTATTGGCTGTGTAACCACATGTTTTTGAAATTCATCAGGCAGAGAATCAGGTGCTGATTGTAATATCTCTGCTTATAAATTAAGTTGAGATTAAGCCTCAAGACTACCCTCTTCGACCGCGCCTTCAGCCACCCTCTCACTCCTACCCTCCACCCCTCCTGATCTCAACCCTCAGCTCAGGTCCAAATCCCTGACTGTCCAGGGATGTCCTTCTGATGTGAAAGGCGCTGTGCAATTATAAATTGTTGCTATACATCAATAAAAATCTACGTGAATTACTCAATCTTACACCACTGATGGTGACCTCAACATTCACTGTCTTTTGCTTTGTACCTACAGTGGCTTTGAATTACCAGAGCCCTGGATTATGTATGGACCTTAACAATGGCAGATTTCTCACCAATGGAAGGTGTGGCTACGTGCTTAAACCAGAGTTCATGAACAATGACACAAAATTTAATCCATTCAATCCTCAACACAAACGTGATCCAGTGACTCTTATAATACAGGTTTGTGTTAGATAACTATCAGGCGCAGAATAATGCAGTTGAAATACTGCACAGCCAGGAAGCAATACAAATGCAATTTCCTTCTAACTGCGGTGCTACAGAAATACAACCATTACAGTTGACAGTAAATACTGCGAAAAGCTTAGAGATATAACATGATACAGCGCAAATTACAAATGCTTGATCTCCTCCATCCTATTTTGTCCTCCATCTGAGTTGTCAAGTCAGGCTTTGTGTAGAAATTATTTTTATATTCATTCCATATTTGTCTTCAAATATTCAATAATTGTCTTTTTCATTCAGCTCTTGTTAACCCTGCGAGCCAAAACCTACTGTTAGGATGGTCCCAGCTGGACAAATAGTGGGATAGCTCGTCAGACAGTACTCTCAATGACAAGCTATCCATTTTCAGTTGGCTAAACTCCATCAGTTCCAAACGCATACTCTGGGGTCCACAAGTCTTGGCTCTTGCCAACCTGCGCCAAATACTTTCCGAAATTAGATAAGCAGGTTGCGTCCCTCCAGGGAGAGAGCACATATTGCATTCCAGACCCATGAAAATTTCTGTGTGCAGGTGGCTCACATATGTTGAACTCTTAGTCTACTTTGGATACTCTTACACATGGTGATAGGTTTACAATGGAGGAGCGAGCACCAATGTAGACCAATGGAATGAATGGTTCCATTACTCTGCTGTAATTTATATGCTTCCAAGATTGTGTCAGACAGGAAGGAAAGTGTGAGTGCAATTTTTAAAATAAAATTTTAGATGAAAATAATGAGAAATAATGAGGCTGGTGCTGTGGAAAATAAATTAAAAGTAGCCAGCGAGAGAATTGGATAGAAAAGACAATGGTGTTAAAGAAGGAGGTGGGTTGAGCAGAATACTAATGTTGTAATTTTTCTCCTGATTTCTTTGCTTTCAATGAGTGCCATTGATATTACACTAATAAAGCTATTCCTCGACATGTGGGTGCCCTTATTGCTGAACTGTGAAATTAATAACATTTCAGAACAGATTTGCTGTGATATATCATATTTTCATTCATTCCTAAAGAATAATTGTGGCAATGAACCTTCCCAACTTCTGCAACACAATCTGTTCCTGTTCCTAACTTCTTATTGCTGCTATCTTGTCTGCCAATTTGGAGTGGACACAGTTTTATATTCAACTCTGTTATTACTTCACAGGATACCAAGTGAATTCACTTGTGTACCCCCACCAACCACTCAACCCTACACGACTTGCACAAGGGTTGGGCCCAAGGATTTCTCTCTCTTATTACTTTTCCTGACAAAGAGAATGCAACATAAACATGAGGCCAAATTAATTAATTAATTAATTAATGTCCTGTGAAACAGCGTTCAAATGCTCCCTCCAGAATCTAAAATAATGTCAAACTGGCAGGAAAATACGTTTTGTTCAGGAATAGGAATAAACCAATTGCAAAAGGAGGTGGGCCTTCTTCATCTAAGCCAATCTGGTGAATTCCATAGCAATTATTTAAGAATGGCTGGACATATGTAATGCTTAATTGCAGATTTGAATCTCTTATGAATTGTCTCAACTTTCATTGCTATAGAGCTATGTTTTATCAGTTGTGAGAAATGACAATGCAAAAAAGCAGTAAAAGCTCTTGAATTGTAGGTGTCCTGTGAAACAGATGACTTGTGATCTGCCAAAGAGGTAGTGTCTGTGTAATCACACTGCATAGCTAACTAATAGCTTGATGTATGTATTCCTTCATTGCTTGAAGCTAGCCATTGCAAGGCTTTGTTCTGTTTTAAGGACATCATTGAGGCACAAATCTTCAGATCTAAATTAGTTGCAGCTAACCACTAATCGTTAACTAACTATTTGATTCTCCTTAGAGAAATGATTATGTACACAGAGAAATAAGTTAATTTTGCTTTGCTTTTAATGTAAATGTTATTGTTCAACTGTTCTATCTAAATACAGTATAGTTAAGCTCTGTGATTTGTTGTACAGTACTGCCTAAGTGTATAACTGACTCATATGCTTTCTGTCCAGATTATTAGAGGTGAGCACATACCAATTTCCAAAACTTGTAGTAAAATAACAGTTGACCCTTATGTGCAAGTGCAAATCTATGGTCTACCCAAGGACAATGCAAAACAGCAAAGCAAGAGTCTACATTCTCAAGGTGAGGAAAACAGAAAACTCCAGTGTTTTTCTGTGAAAAGTTTCAATGACATTTTGCTATAGTTGCATATAACATGCCTCCATGTCCTCCGCTCAGTGGTCGGGCTTTTAGTCTTTGGAACTCCATCCCACAGTCCCTTCACCTCAATCCTTCCCTTGCCTCCTTCAAGGCCTGTTTCCAAACCCTCCTCTTCAACCTTGCCTTTGGTCATTCTCCTACCCCTACCATCACTGCCCTCCACCCCTCCTGATCCCAACCCCCAGCTCGGATCCATATCCCTGACTGTCCAGCGCCTCGGGACATCCTCCCGATGTGAAAGATGCCATGCAAATGTAAGTTTAGTCATCAGCACATTTGTTAACGGAGAGTATTTTATACAAAAATATGCTGTTTAATGCCACTTGTATAATAAAATATTTAATGGAGCTAACAGTGATCTTATCATTGTTGGAAAATATCACTTGATTCCACTGGATATTGCACCACCTTGACGTTATAACATTTATCTTGTGTACAATAAAACTTGTGATTTTCAATACTTTTATGATACAAATGAAATATGAGCAGCATTGTTTTATGATATTTTACACCCATGTTTAAAACTGTTTGGATACAACACTAGCCATAATTAAATGAGCGTAATGAAAGAAGACATTGCAGGTTAATATTTCATGCTACTTGCAACCCTTCCTTCGCCCGACAGGCACATCCTATATTTACGCTAGCTCTGAGTTCTGTAAACTAAAATCTTCTTTTTTTTTCTTTCAGGTAATAATCCCAAATGGAATGACATTTTCACCTTTAGCATTCAGGTTCCAGAACTTGCATTGGTTCGTTTTACTGTCAGAGACAGCAATCTCTTTTCCAAGAATGAATTCCTCGGTCAATATACTCTGCCATTTACCAGCATGAAGAAAGGTAAAGATGTCATTAAGGTTTACTGGTCGTAAGTGTTTTTACAGCTAAAATCTGTCATCAGTGGCTACAGTAAACTGCGGATAACTTGTTATTCCCATCCGGAAAAAAAGCTCAACAAAGAGTTATCCAGATTGGCGAGTTAGCTATAGGTCCTCCCGGACCAGCAGGGGGCACTGCAACTGGTGTGGGCACTCGCGGAGATTGGCACTCATACTCAGATACAGCGCAGAGACCTCTGGTTTACTGGAGGGCTTCACTGACTAGATAATAGCACCTCTCTCAAATCCAATCCCCAGCTTGGGTGCGAATCCTCGATTATCCAAGGCCTTGGGACGTCCTCCTGATGTGGAGACTTGTTGAGTTAGTGCTGCTGTCAACTGCAGTGAGTTAAATGTTTGAAATAAGAATAGCAACTGGTGGATTCCATTGTTTGAGGACTGTTGGACTTTGGATCAATTGTAGGTACTTTCTCAACAGTGTGTTCGGTACAAGGCATTGCATATCCTTGTCTCAAATGGCAAACACAAATACTGTCACGTCAGTGTGAGTTATGTGCTGTACATGCCAATTCAGTTTCTTCTCATTTCCCATGGCCGCATCCAAATGTTCTCAAGCCACATACATTTGGTAATCAAATAAATAGCTAGTAGCAGGGTTTCAAGGGACTAACAAATCTCTGGACAAACAGTTTATGGTGTAATTTGAATTCCTTGGTATAGTATTGCTTCACAACACAGAATGAGGTATCCTTCAGGAGGGACGTATTAACTTAGCCACTGTGATAGCCTGCTGCCTTAGGATTGAATTATACCCCATTTGGGGGACAAATTGCAGTATTTCTTCATGAATTCCATTTCTTAATCACCAGCAATAATTAAGGAATGTTAGAGAAAATGTACTTAAACGTTTCCAAAAACCCACTCTTAAATTACTTCCCCCTTCCCCCAATGTGGGGAGAATTATTTTTCCCTCAATCACTTCCATGTTTTTAATAATGTGAGGAGTGTTTTCTTTTATTTCTGGCTGTTACAATTGATTTTAACTAAACCTTCTACTTTTCAAAACCTACTTTAGGAAAAGAAACTGAATTAAATAACAGATTGATTTTAGGAATACTGCAAGTTTGACTCCTTTAATAATAATCCTAAAAAAATCCTTGCATTTGATGTAATAATAATAATATTAATCCTAGCATTTACGTAGCCCGGATTCACCGTAAAGTGGAGTGACTGTGTATTTTTGTAGGCAAACGCATTTTTTTGACTTTCCCTTACATTCTCGAGTTTCATCTCTTTGTGTCTTCACCACTGATTTTCTTTTAATTTTTTTGTGAATTGTGTGGTTAACAAGTTGTGACGATCATCTGGGAGGGGAGCTGGACTAGCTCCAAGGTGACATGCTTGGCAATGAAATAACACACTCGAGCCAGCCCTCTGTGGCAATCTTGGTCGTCAAGTTCTTGAGCCAGGCGGGTCCACAGTACTCCGGGCACGGCTGACGACAGCACTGCCCAGCCTGGCTCGTTGGTAGGACTTGGATGGGCAGACCAGTCACTGGTCTCGGTCTTTAGGTTTCCCTTTCACTTTTTTGTAAGCAAATAAAACCCACGCAGGGGTTTAGGCCTGGTAGCTTCACGATGATAGTGGGGGGAAGAAAAAAAATCACTGGAGCCTGTTGTGAAGAACGCTGTTCGAAAGCTTTCAGGGAGAGTAAAGCTAATTGCTCAAAGCCAATGTCGGTCACACCAAACAAAGTGGTCAGAGTTGTTTGAAACAGGAGTTAATGGGCGAAGGTAAAGGGCTGGATATTACATGTATTGATTTTTTAGCAAGCCCTTGTTTAGGTCCCTCATGAGTCTTGTGGCTGAAGTAAAAGCTTGTGAACTTCAAAGTACAGAGAGACACTTTAGTTATTAATTGGCTGGATAATGAGTAACAGACAATACGTAACATTGGTAATAGTTTGAAGAGGCAATTGTATCTTACCATACTATGTCTGAATTACCATGTCATTAAAAACTATTCAAGATTGATTGATCCTGTGATGACCGAATGATATTTCATGTCAAATAAAACCTTATTCTTAAGTGATATGCAGCCAACCCTATCTGAAGCCAAGTTCAATAACTGAAGGAAATGGTTGCAGGTTTTCTATTTATTTTGTTCCCTAAAATTGAAGGCACTTTCCATTAGCTTTGCGTTGTCTAGAAGAGAGACTATAGCACTGCTTTTTAATTTTAGATTGACTTTTAGTGATATTGAGTGAGCACGAGTTAAAAATAGAAATCAAATAAACTGGCTGGGAGAGCTTTTTGGAAATTATTTTGTAAAAGCTTTGGTATTAATGCTAAACATGCCTGTATTTATTATATACTTGGTGAATTGTGACATTTGTAAACTTGTATAATTTTTGGACGCGGTACAAATATGGCAACTGAAATTATTTTAACGTTAAATCAACTATTTCATGCTATTGTTCATTTGTTTGCTACCCAACTAACCAAGGCGCCCTTTATAATGTAAGGTGTGATGGACTGCCTGACAACTGAGATTATTCATAAGTAGTTGGAGGTGCCAATATTAACCACAAAAAGTTGCATTTGTATAGCTCTATTTTATATAAGATTTTTTAAAAAAATCTTGACGACACGATAAGGTTATTATCATTACAGTATAATGATTATTATAAGCAAGGAATGGAAAGTTCACCATTCATGAGGAACAGCATGATAGTTATATCAAACTGAGCGATGATTGAATTGCCCCTTAATTGTTCTTTTTCAGGTTATCGTTTTGTTCCACTATTGAGCTTTGATGGCCTAAGCCTTTCTCCAGCGAAGCTGTTTGTGTACGTGTGGTATGCTTAGAAGAAAGTCACCTTGAGGAACAATGATTCGGATCATGCATGCAGTTTTCCCATTTCAAATCAGAATACAGTTACGATTCAAGATTGTTCTTTCTGTTTGAAATATTTCCAGAATCTTAGCGTGGAGTCGTCCTGTTAAGAATGAACTAACCATAGCTTACATTGCTTTGTGTTTATATAACACGATAACATCGAGAGAAGTTGCCCACTGCACTGCAGCTACTGCCAGCAGGGAACGAGGGAAGAAACTCCGATTTTTTTTCTTTTAATCCCCTTCCCCCCCCCCCAACTGCTATTTATAATAGACACAAAATCGTATTGATTAATCCCAAAAAATGTTTTACTCGCATACTTTTGTTTTCCTTCTTTCTGTTCTCGTCTCCCAGTGTGAGGCATCATGGTGAGATGCTCAATCCACCCCTGCCTTTGTAACTGCTTCCAGTAACAGTAAGGAGCTGAGCAGAATGCCCCTGGTTTTCTCCCCTCCCAGTTTATAAACATCTGGTCTCTGCTCCTCCTCCTGCCCCAGTGTAGTTGCTGTGAAGTTGCATTACTCTGGAGTAGGTCGCTGTATGTCTGAGCCACCAGGACAAGCACAACACAGACTGTGAACATAGACTGACTGTCAAAAAAACAAAGGCAAGTGGTGCCAATATTTACATAAGGCAGAACCTACTTCTCAACCCAAATCATACAATGTTTGAAATGGGTACAGAATAAAGTGACCCCAGCTGCCACCAACGTTCATTCACCAACTATCTTATTTTTACTTTAAATTTGTGACTTTTTCAATCGGATCTACTCGACATCTCTGGTAACAAACTGTTTTTCTCCCAACCTCCCCCCCACCCCCCCCCTCTCTCTCTCTCTTTCAATTGTTTTCCCCCTTAAACCTGTTTTTGGCTCTTTTGCTTTCTGTATCTGTTTCTCTTAATCTCAGTTCAATCAGGCTCTGTGTCGAAATGTTCTCTTTGCCTCGACGGCCTTGGAAGAATGCTTGCTTTCTTGAGATTTATTTATCTTTTCTTTGCCCTGTTTTTTCGTGACTTCCATGATCTTCAGAAACGCAGCTCACTTATTACTTGGCAACTTTGACAAATTGTACTTTAAAAGGATCAGTTGATCAACCAATTGCTACTTGGAGGCTAACCTCCACATCTGGTTTGTTCTGTTGCACATCGACTGACTCAAACAACAAAAATGTGGTATTAGGTTTTGATACAATCAGACCAAGACAGGAACTGAAGAGGAAAAGACAGAAGTTTCTCCAGTTAAGCTTCCTTCCCCTCCCTGAGGAAATACATCAAGATTCAAAGTAAACAGGCCTCGCTATTGCTATGGCTCTGTACCAGATCCTGGTTAAGACGAACACAAATGCAAGATTAACTATATTTACTATCTTTCTAAAATCTGCAAACAAAATATTGTACCGGATTTCACAAGTTGGGGCTTCGTTTGCTGTAAAAGGAACCTGTTCAAAGAATCTTTTCACCAGAATCTAATCCTTAAGTAATTGGGAGAAAATTTCACGATTGAACCCGAATATTAATTTTTAACAGGGAAGGATGATGTTTTGCATGAAACGTAACATTATTCTGTCGTGCAGTGATGCAGTGCGTTGGAGCATTCATGCAGAGAGCTGCTACTGTATGAGAGGCTTCTGTTGTTTTAAGCGCTATGGGACTCTACCCTGCCTGAGGGGCGCTATATAAATGCAAGTTGTTGTTTTTTTGTTGTTCTTTCCCTTCCCATCCGTTGATCTCAGTTGAGTTGTGCTAAGGCAGAAGTTAGAATGAGGAAAATTTCTGTCTGGGTCTCGATTTACTCTATTTATGTAGCATTTTATAATAATCCTTGCATTTGATACAGCGCCTCATCACGTCTTCGAAACGTCTCAAAGTACTTCACAAAATATACTGCAAAGTGAATTGACTGTATATTTTGTGGGCGAAACGCGGCAGCCAATAGCGCACGGTTGCATCTCACAAACAGCAATTGAGTGACCAAATCATTATTATTATTTTTGAAGGGTTTATTACCCCCGAAGAGCAATCCACCAATCGACTAACAAACGGGTTCCTACTTGCTGCTAGGTAAAAAGAGGCGTGTGGAGTAAGGAAACTTGCCTAAGGTTTCGCTCTGCTTGGTGAATCAAACTCGAATCCTCTCGCTTGCGAGGTGATCGCTCGAACCAATAGACTACAGGACTCCACTTTCTCATGCTGTTGACTAGCTCGGCTTGTGGAAGCCGGGGTAACAGGGCAGAAAGCATCTATTAAACCAAAATAAATTGCAAAATACATAACTTTATTATCCGTGGGCCCCTCAATACTTATTAAATGAAATTTTGGTTATAATTTATATTAACAACTGGTCACTTTCAATCAATTCTATTCAGCGTTACATTAAAAACTCTATTGATCTGTGCTGAAAGCAACTGAGGTGATTTGTTGCCGCTGTAGTTTTGAACTCAGAATTCAATATTTAATATAAAATGAATTTAGCATTCACTATCTTTCACTCTAAGAGATTGAAACAGATTTGAAACAGCTCCCTGAAGTGATCAGAGATTGATTGGAGGGAGTTTCAGTGTGGAATTATATATAGTTTATAAAGAGCAATTTACCTTTACCTTTATTTCTCCCTCCCCTCCCCACCCCATCTTATTCCTTCCTCTGCTGGAAGCATTGATTTGTGCTTTGTTACAACTGCACAGATTTTAAGAGGGAAGCACTTTATTTGCCGGTTAATAATAAATAATAATCCTTGCCTTTGATATAGTGCCTTACCATATCTTCAAGACCATCTCAAAGCGCTTCACACAATATACTGTAAAGTGAATTATTATTCCTGGAAAAGTGATCTGCCAATCAATTAACAACCAGGCTCCCACTTACTGGTGGTAAACAGAGGTGTGTGGAGTAAGGACATTTGCCGAAGGTTTCGCCCTGCCCGGGAATCGAACCCAGGTCCTCTTGCTTGCGAGGCGAGTGCTCTAACCACTGAGCTACAGGACTCTTGTTGCCTTCTTATGGTGCACCATAAGAACTACTGCAGGGGAAATTCACTTGTTAGAAGAGAATTAATGCCCATATTCATGGGGAATTATAGATTGTGTAACTGCTGTACAGATTATACTGCCAATTAGATTAGTATCATGGTCTGTAGGCTTTCCCTGAAAGTCTACTGTTATTTAAGTTATTAAGCCATGGAAGGGAACATTCATCACGAAACTCCAAAATGTAATTATAGTGGATTTGGAATTTGACTAACTCAGTCTTTTGACAGGGCTGTAGGAAAGCAGCTTGAACTAGCCACTGTATTTATAACTCATACTACAGAATTGAACAACTTTTACACATCGCAGCCTTGTACCTATCAGAGGAACCTCACATATGTAGTGCTTGATTACTATGTTTGGTAGATCAGTGCTTGAAATCCTTGCTTTAATTGATACGTGGAGTCCTGTAATGTAGTGGTTAGAGCACTCGGCTCACAAGCGAGAGGACCTGGGTTCGATTCCCAGGCGGGGCCAAACCTTCAGCGAATTTCCTTACTCCACACACTTCTGTTTATCTGGCAGTAAGTAGGAAGAACCCAATTGTTATTTGATTAGCGGATCGCTTTCCTTACTGCTCCCTTCAGCAATAAATAACAAATTTAGTCATTCTATCCTCGACAGTTTCTGGGACACTACTGTGAGCAATTGGCTGCCGCGTTTCTTCCCCAAAATATACAGTCAATTCACTTTACGGTATATTCTGTGAAGTGCTTTGAGACGTCTCTGCAACATGTTAAGGCGCTGTATCAAATGCAAGGTTTATTATATATAATATTATAAAGCAGAGTTGTTAAAGTTACTGTACTGTGGCCTAAGCCTGTTTTATTTTAGAGAGATTACACACAAAATAGCAGAGAGCTGCGAATCTTTTGCAAATCTGAAACCCATCCAGCAACTTCGGATGACATCAACCATGAGTAAAGTTCACAGTTTGTTTTTAAAAAAAAGCTTCCTGAACTCTGGGAGTGAGCTATTGTTTTGAATGCACTCCAAAACTTTAATACAATATTTATCTTGATATACTGAACCTTCGACATTATTTTTTTTTCATCTCAATCCTCTCTTAAGCATTTGTCCCTTCATTAACATTGTTGTTTTTTGGCCTGTGACTGGCTCTATGATATAAATGATTTCCAAATGAGCTTGGACAAAATGATCAGACTTGTGCAACGTTATAGTGGATCCACCTAACATGAAGAGAATATATACTGGCAACTCAAATGTTGTGCGCAATTGGCTGCGCGTTTCGCATTTCAATGTAAATTGGTAATAATAATAATCCTTGCATTTGATACAGCGCCTTATCATGTCGTTGAGACATCTCAAAGCGCTTCACATTACATACTGAAAACTGGAGTGACTGTGTATTTGTGGGTGAAATGCAGCAGCCTATTGCGCACAGCAGTGTCCCACAAACAGTTGTGGATTGAGTTACCGAATTCTTTTTATTTTTTTGGAATGACCAAAGCCATACTTTCAATTAGTTTCGCAGATCCTGCCTTCACACAATAAACCTTTCATAAAGTTCGCCTTTTCATAATCCTTCTAAAAACACTTGTATCATCAAAATGTCTATGTCATATTACCGTGTGTGCACTATCGCTGTGATGACTGTCTGGGGTGTTACAGGTTTTCGCAACCTGCACCTGAGAAGAGTTGCGACACTTTTCCCTGAGGGCTGACACGGTGTTGGGCTTTGCGTATGATTGCATTTACAGTGAACAGCTTCATTTCCTAAAACAGTGTGTTTTTGGGGGGCACTGGTTTTGTGGTAACCTCACAATTTAAATACAACAACAACAACAAAATGGCATTTGTAATAGCGTCTTTCACAGCAGGAGGACATCCCAAGGCGCTGGACAGACAGAGTTTCAGTACTGTAACCGGGGCTAATAATTTAAATACTGTCCGGGCATAATAATCCCTAAAACAAAAAGAAA